CTAGACCTCGAGAGCCCCCTCATGTGCGTTTGACGAGAATACTTGCAAAAATCACGTCGCCTCTTTCCAAAGCAAAAAATTATATTAAATGCTAATTAATTTTCCCATTATCTATTATGTAGTCACATGGATAAAGGAAAGCGCTCTTGATACGTTTTGTTTAAGGTTCTTTCTTTGCATCATTTTTGTGGGAAATGCTCCATATAAATTTAGATTTGCTTTTTAGAGTGTGGTTTTTCCAAAGCTCAACCGAATCACTCAGAAATTTCTCAGCACTGCAGGTGAGTGTTTTATTTTGGGTGTTTTATTTTTTGTTTGTTTGTTTGTTTGTTTGTTTATTATTATCATTATTAATACTATTATTATTATTACTATTAATAATATTATTTTCATTGTCGTCATTTATTATTGTTAGTATTAGTATCAGTATAAGTATAAGTATTAGTATTAATATTAGTATTAGTATCAGTATTAGTATTAATATTATTATCATTATCATCATTACCATCATCATAACCATCATTATTATCATTATTAATATATGCCGTCACTTTGCAGACCCTGAGCCACACAGTGGAGCTATACAAAAGAGAATGTCCTCACCAACTGCTATCCCACAAACGCCAGATTCTGGAGAACGTGGCAGCTGCCTTGGACAGGAACAGGAAAGAGGGTCTTCAACAGAGCCAAGACCTCCTGGTTAACGTGACGTCCGTCATGGAGGATCTCGAAGCCAATTTTGAGCGCAAGTTGAGCGTTGTCAAAAGCCAGTTACAGGTGAAAGTTTTTCCGTGTTTGACTTCCCATACTGACGAGTATATTTTCACCCAGAAGTGGTTACATTTATATAGAAGTGAAACTATATATGCACTTGTTCCCTGGTTGGAGGAGAGTGCGATAAACTGATTGATGGATAGTGAGATAAACTGATTAGTGGATGATAAAATTATTGATTGACTCAGTGGTAAACTGGTTGACTAATTATAGATAAACTGAGAAATTAACTGCCTAGTTGACTTCCATTGCTTCTACACGTCCTAAAATCTCTGGGAGTATTCCCCCACCATGTAGCTGCCGAACCTATTCGCGTCGTCATTTCCAATAGTCGTCTACCAAACTCCCTCTCTCTTTATTACTCTTCAGCCCCAGTCGTGCGCCAGTGCTAAGGGTTTGGGTCCTCTGCCGGTGGTCAGTCTCTCTAGTGGTCAACTTGTAGTCTGTGACATGGTGATGGATGAAGGAGGCTGGATCGTGATACAGGTGAGTACAAGCTGCTACAGTGCAGGTGAGATCAACATTGTTTTACAGAAATACAATCTGATATAATAATGGTATGATCAACATTATTTTACAGTAATACATCCTGATATAATACCAGTGTGAGTAAAAAATAATGCTGGTTTGTTTATAACTTTAAGAAAAATACATGTAACACACTTGCAACTATCATACCTCAAATTGAAGAGAGGCATCTGAGGATCAGATTTTTATTTCTCAACATAGACTCCATTATGATCAATAGCGACAGTCTACCTTTTACTTAGTCCACATATGCCACCTGCGTAAAACTGAGCAGGTTGGTCGCAGATGTACAACAATCTTGATTTCTCCACCGTTTCCATAGTATTGACCTCTCAATGGTTCTTTTCTAGGAACAATAAGGTGGAGGTTTGAAGAAGCCAAATCAGGAAACTAAATTTGGTGTGGCAGTGTTTTCCACATAAACGTGGGGATTGTCTCCCTTGTCCTGGTACTTGGATGCAGGCAGGCATTGTCATTTTGCAAAAAACACTCTTTCTATATTCAAATTTGGTCTGACTTGTCGAATTCCTCGCGTTCAGTGGTTGCAGTGTTTCAATATAGGGTTCAGAATTGACAGTTGCTCCTCGTGGTAAAAGAAAAAAAATATGTGACACTTATGCTACGAACGCCTCAAAACATGACTTACATGATTTTTCTGGCTGACACATCGGGACAATGCTTGTCTGACAAGCATATGGACACTTCTACCTCTTCTTCCGGTTCATTGCTCAAACGTCTAAGCCACCTATAGACAGTGCCAAAATCTAGAGCTTGTTCCTTGTAAACATTTTGAATTCCCTGTTGGATGTTATCGGTGGATTCTCCTTCTAAAACAAGAAATTCACTCACTGCTCTTTTCCTCTGACAGACCTCAAAGAGGGTAGCCATTTTGGGCCAAAATTAAAAAATCTCAAATTATAACAATTTGAGTTCAAAAGTATATGAGTAAGCACTTGTGAGCTGAATTTCATTAAATTTTGATACAAAATTGTGCAAAATAACGAACAACTTGCAATACTTTTTTACTTCCCCTTGTACAGTTAAAATTAACCTTATCTTATAGTAATAATAATACACCCTGAAACAATACGGGTGAAATTAATATTTTTCGCAAAAGAAATTAATAATGCTTGTAAAATACTGTAATGCAGGCTGGTACAACATAGTTGTGAGCATCATAATTAAACTGTTTTTCTGGCTGTTAAAATTACATATGAAATTACCCTCTTTTGTGTAATACAGACAGGTACAATACAGATCAGATCAACATTTTTTTTACTGTCGTAGGGACTGGTGCAAAAAACGGTGCAGTCTTTCTGCTCAGTGGCTCTTCAATTTGAAAACGTATAAATATTAATATGTGTACAATATAATAATATAGAAACACAAGGACATGTGTGATTATAATTTTTCAAAGTTCAGTCATTAAACAAAATAAGATAGAAAATAGAAGAGGGAAAATCCCAATGTACAACAGATTCTAAATTCTTCTCTCAGCTCAGAGTGCTGTCATAAGATATTACCGGTAACTATAACTATTCTTGTTTTAGAAATTGAAAGCTTGGCAACGTTATTCAAACAATGTGATTTCGTATTCTTCATGATACTATACCTTAGAAACTGGCATAATGTTCTGTTTTGTCTACAGAGACGTGCTTCGGCGGACGTTGATTTTTTCCGTGGTTGGGAAGAATACAAAAACGGATTTGGTGACCTCTCTGGCAATTTCTGGCTCGGGCTCGAGAAAATCCACCAGTTGACAAGTCAGGCAAGTTGTTTACAGTTAGATACAGTGGACTGTCCAAACACTTGACATCACGGGGACTTTGTTGTCTATGTCGATGTAAGTGTTGTTATTATTGCCCCTCGTGATGTTAGTTTACTTTTGGAAAGGCCCAATGTTATTATTACTCTTAAAAAGAGGTCAAAGTATTTAATAGTCCAAGTTTACGTTTTTGGGACTTTCTTTTCGCCCGCCTTGGCTGGTTTTATCGGAAATAGACGTAGCATACGGACTCCAAACTCTTAAATAATCTTATAGTATTTAAAAGAGGTGGTTAACCAGCAATAAGTAGTTATGAGCGTGGTGGTAATGGTAGATAAATAAGGTTCCGGCAGTCGCCGTAACGGCACTGCTAAACAACAATAATAATGTTTTATATTATTGTGGAGGTGATAACAGTAGCAGTTCGTATTGTGGATGGGTGATTTATTTTTCAATATCGTTTTTATTGTTGATATTTTTGTAAGGATGTCGTACGTAAAGCTGTTGTTATTGTGGTCTTGTTGTGGCTGTTGCTCCTGTTGTTGCTAATGCTCTTGCTGCTGTTGTTGCTGCTGTTGTTGTTGGTGGTGGTTATGCTACCGAGGTTCTCGTTGACCATGTACATATTTAATTGCATAGTCTTCTGAGGTAGGGGAAGCATGCATCGTTTTCACCATTTAGGTCCAACCTCTTAGTTCCATTCCGTATCGTTGCAGGTATTTCCTTCTTTTCACCCGAGATTTCTTAACGTTGTTTTGCTATAACTATTATTCCTTTAGTCTTATTCGTAAATACACTGCCTTATTAGACATACCGTAGGACAGTCAGGTGAGAGGAAATCTTTGGGAGGATCAATATTTAAACTTGACACAGATTTGAACAAATAACATCCTTGTCAAAGGTCTTTTCCACTGAGACATAACCACTGGATTTTGTATGTGTTGTTTTAATACTTGTCCTCACGTTCTCATCCCCAGGGGAGATACGAAATAAGGATCGATTTCAGATTTCAGGGGAAAAACTACTTCGCCAGCTACGACAACTTTTCGTTATCTGGAAAAACGGAAAATTACAAAATTCAGATTTCGGGATTTTCGGGTAATGTAAGTGAGGACAGCATGGCTTATCACAATGGTATGGCGTTTACTACCAAGGACCGTGACAACGACCTGTCTAGTCGCAACTGTGCCAATCGGTACCATGGAGCTTGGTGGTACAATGACTGCCATCATGTGAACCTCAACGGACTGTGGGGCAGCAAAGGGCGGGGCTGGACGGGCTTGAGATGGGGTAGTGTCACAAGCGATGACTCTGTCTCCTTCAGCGAAATGAAAATTCATCCATTTGCTGAGTGACAGAGTTATTCAACTGAATTTTTCATGTATTTCGATACTTGTGTGTCTTTATGTTTGAAGTATAGAAAAATACAATAATAGAATACCGTCACAATCTTAGCGATTCAGATGCTCAATTTTCTCATTTTGTGACTTTCTTGATTTATAAGAGATACATTACAACTGATAATGATGCTGAAACATTATCAAATGTACTTTCCATAATCCTGATATTTCTCAATTGCTCGTTGCAACACATACACGCACTTTTAAAACCCTAGAGACATTACACAGATATGCACACTGCACAAATACATGGACACATATTTCTTTTAATGGAAAAGATCAAACGTATCTTTTAAAAACTATGAGGATAAAAATTAAAGGTCTTGAGTTTTTCAGAATTTTTTTTCTTGTACTTAAAAATGTTTAAGATATTGAAAAAAATGTTTTACTTTCATGTAAATAGAAGAAGACTGTACTAGATAATTGAGATATCTTTTACATAATTATCAGACTGACCAATGAAAATTCGCAAATCTAACGTGTTGTTGTTGGGGTGCTATTTTGTCTATTTTCAAGATAATATAGTACATAGTACCGTTAAAATACAATGTTGATGTTAGTAAGCTGACCAAACCTTATGCAAATTGATTGTTAAATGAAAGTTGTGGTGAGAAGAGTGATCATACGTCTTGATTTCAAACAAAACAGGAAGAACAATTTAAAGGTTAAAACTGCAATAATTTATATTTTAAGAGTGATTATCAAGCGGGAGAATGCTTTCTGATTTCTGATTTTCCTTTTATATATGTGGAATTGAAAAGAAGAAATAAATAAACTATAAACATCAGCATTTTCAAGAAGTGTGTTCATCAGTTGTTCTTTATTTCTATGCACATGTTCTAAGCCTGGCATATTTATTCTTAGAAAACGCTCCACATTAATCCTCCTTCTTGTGTTTCTTTCATATTATTACACTTGTAGCATACGATCTTGAACCGTGCACTCTGAAGCATTTCCGTATAAACTAGCTAACCCTAAAAAAATGATAGTCCTATCGATACACGGGCAGAACTTTTTAAATGAAAAAAAATCAATATTAGATATTTTGTATTATTATGTATCTGTACTACTTCAAAAGATAAACGTGCAAAACATCTTTGCTGAAATTTGACATAGAAGAAGGGGAGAAAATATCACAAGGGAAACCTGCCAAGACACAACGTCGTATAAAAAAGGACTGAAAAAACCTGCCGAGTCAAACCTTTAATTTGAAAGTGGTTAGTGCGTGGAAGGGCTCCTTACGCAACACCCAGACGAAGTATATGATTTAACACCGCCATCACACAAAATACACAACAACGTCCTCCAATTTAAACTTTATTAATTTGTAGACAACATGCGGGTTTTTAAAAATTCTTTCGACTGCATGGCGTGTCTCTTTCTTTTAGCTCATCACACTGAGTTAAAGCCACATAGATGTAAAGTCTCATTGTAACGGAGACAAAGACAGCAACTGATGTTTTTGCTCCCACTGGACTACCACACATTTTGTGATGACTTAAAACACTAGCAGTCATATTGGAACAGGAAGAGAGTTTCACGTAATAGATTGGTGTTACTTTTTACTGGACGCAACTGGACTTTAAGCTTTGTCTTTGCCTTTATAAAATAATTGTAGATGGTTTACAACACTTAGAGCACATAATTTAGATACTTTACTAGGTGGGCAGCTTCAGCTTTGCCTGTCAAGTCAAACCTGAGCTGGCTGAGATGGACACAACGTCCTAGCAGGAAGAAGGTTATACAGGAACACGATAAAATCTCTCCCCAAGCGGCAATCGAACTCATGTCTTCTGTTAGCGTCGACGAAGTGTTTAACCACTACACAACAGACGCTGATTTTTAAACCTTTCTGTGGAAAAGATACAGCAAGCGAGAGAGAGAGAGAGAGAGAGAGAGAGAGAGAGAGAGAGAGAGAGGGGGGGGGAGGGAAGGAAGGAAGGAGCAAGAGAGAGAGAGAGAGAAAGAGAGCACCATGACGAAGGGTATTTTCGATCAACATGCCCCACTCAGATTTACAGAGTTCTAGCTTTAGGAAGAGTTTTTACTGAACTTGAAACACACAAAGGCCATATTATTATACGTGACGAAGATTAGGGTTGTTTCTGGAGAGCAAAATACACTGAAAACAAGGTAAGAAAAGGATGTTAGATGTTTGATAGGAAAGAAGCAGCAGCACAGAAGCAAACCGCTACACCACAGATGCAGGTAAGGACCCCCTGTGCATATAGACATGTACAGAAAACTGTCAAAGTACTCATTATCACAGTCAATATTTTTAATGATAGCATAAAATCAGAGTTTAAAAAATTCTCAAAGTCTGTGTCGCTTGGTTAATTAACTTCTTGCAAAATGTTAATCTTCTCTATCCTTTTCATTTTGGTTTCAGAGATCTATCCTTTTTATTTTAGTTTGATAACCCTATCCTTTTCATTTTTGTTTCCCAGATCTATCCTTTACATTTTGATTTTTCAGAGCTATCCTTTCCATTTTCGTTTTAGCGAGTTATAGTTTTCATTTTTAGTTTCACAACCCTATCCAATCCTTTTCATTTTAGATCCAGGGACACATTCTTTTTATTTTAGTTTGCCAACCCTATCCTTTTCATTTCAGTATAACAGAGCTATCCTTTTCATTTTAGTTTCCATGAGTTATCCTTTACATTTTGAATTCCCAGTGCTATCCTTTTCATTTTTATTTCCGAGAGTTATCCCTTTCATTTTAGTTTACTAAGCCTATTCTTTTCATTATAGTTTCCCAGAGCTATCCTTTTCATTTTAGTTTCCAGAAGTTATCCTTTTCATCTTGGTTTCAGAGAGCTATCCTTAACTGTTTGATTTCCCATTGCCATCCTTTTCATTTTAGTTTCCCAGAGCAATCGTTTTCATTTTGTTTTACCAGTGCTATCTTTTTCATTTTAGTTTCACAACCCTATCATTTTCATTTCAATTTCTCAGAGCTACCTGTTTCATTTTAGTTCCCTTTTCATTTTGATTTCATAGAGCTATCCTATACATTTTGATTTCCCAGAGCTATCCTTTTCCTTTTAGTTTCTCAACCATATCCTTTTCATTTTGGTTTCAAAGAGCTATCTTTTTCATTTTAGTTTCCAGAGGTAACCTTTTCGATTTAATTTTCCAGAGTTATCCTTTACATTTTGATTTCCCTGAGCTATCCTTTTCATTTTAGTTTCCCAAATCTATCCTCTTCATTTTGGTTAACCAGAGCCATCCTTTTAAATTTTTGTTTTACAGAGCTAACCTTTTCATTTTGGTTTCCCAGAGCTATCCTTTTCATTTTAGTTTCCAAACCCTATGCTATTCATTTTGGTTTCCCTGTGCTAATCTGTACATTTTGATTTCCCAGATCTACCCTTTTCATTTTGGTTTCCCAGAGCCATCCTTTTCATTTTAGTTTCCCAGACCTATCCTTTTCATTTTAGTTTTCCAGAGTTATCCTTTCCTTTTAGAATTCCTTGATCCCTTCTTTTCATTTTCTTTTCTCAGAGATATCCTTTGCATTTAGTTTCCTAACCCTATCCTTTTCATTTTAGTTTCCCAGAGATATCCTTTCAATTTTAGTTTCCAGGAGTTATCCTTTTCATGTTGGTTTCAATAGAGCTATAATTTACATTTTGATTTTCCACAGCTACCGTTTTAGTTTTAGTTTCCCAGAGCTATCCTTTTCAGTTTAGTTTTCCAGAGTTATCCTTTATGTTTTGATTTCCTAGAGCTATCCGTTTCATTTGGTTTCAAAGAGCTATCTTTTTCATTTTAGTTTCCAGAGGTATCCTTTTCGATTTAATTTTCCAGAGTTATCCTTTACATTTTGATTTCCCTGAGCTATCCTTTTCATTTTAGTTTCCCAAAGCTATCCTCTTCATTTTGGTTAACCAGAGCCATCCTTTTCAATTTTTGTTTTACAGAGCTATCCTTTTCATTTTGGTTTCCCAGAGCTATCCTTTTCATTTTAGTTTCCTAACCCTATCCTTTCCATTTTAGTTTCCAGGAGTTATCCTTTTCATGTTGGTTTCATAGAGCTATCCTTTACATCATGATTTTCCACAGCTATCCTTTTCATTTTGGTTTCCCAGAGCTATCCTTTTCAGTTTAGTTTTCCAGAGTTATCCTTTATATTTTGATTTCCAAGAGCTATCCTTTTCATTTTAGTTTCCCAAATCTATCCTCTTCATTTTGGTTAACCAGAGCCATCCTTTTAAATTTTTGTTTTACAGAGCTAACCTTTTCATTTTGGTTTCCCAGAGCTATCCTTTTCATTTTAGTTACCAAACCCTATGCTATTCATTTTGGTTTCCCTGTGCTAATCTGTACATTTTGATTTCCCAGATCTACCCTTTTCATTTTGGTTTCCCAGAGCCATCCTTTTCATTTTAGTTTCCCAACCCTATCCTTTTCATTTTTGTTTCCCAAAGCTATCCTTTTTATTTTAGTTTCCCAACCCTATCATTTTCATTTTGGTTTCAGAGAGCTATACTTTTCATTTTAATTTCCCACAGCTATCCTTTTCATTTTGGTTGCAGAGAGCTATCCTTTGCATTTTCGTTTCCCATTGGCATCTTTTTCATTTTGGGTTCAGTGAGCTACCCTTTTCATTTCGGTTTCCCAGAGTTATCCTTTTTATTTTGGTTTTATAGAGCTATCCTTTACATTTTGATTTCACAGAGCTATTCTTTTCATTTTGGCTTCCCATAGCAATCCTTTTCATTTTAGTTTCCCAACACTACCTTTTTCATCTTTGTTTTCAGGAGCTATCCTTTTCATTTTAGTTTCCATGAGATATCCTTTTCATTTTAGTTTCCATGAGCTATCCTTTTCATTTTGGTTAACCAGAGCTATCCTTTTCATTTTAGTTTCCCAACCCAATGCTTTTAATTTTGGTTTCCCAGGCCTATCCTTAACATTTTGATTTCCAAGATTTATCCTTTTCATTTTGGTTTCCCAGAGCTATCCTTTTCATTTTAGTTTCCCAGACCTATCCTTTTCATTTTAGTTTTCCAGAGTTATCCTTTCCTTTTAGAATTCCTTGATCCCTTCTTTTCATTTTCTTTTCTCAGAGATATCCTTTGCATTTAGTGTCCTAACCCTATCCTTTTCATTTTAGTTTCCCAGAGATATCCTTTCAATTTTAGTTTCCAGGAGTTATCCTTTTCATGTTGGTTTCAATAGAGCTATAATTTACATTTTGATTTTCCACAGCTACCGTTTTAGTTTTAGTTTCCCAGAGCTATCCTTTTCAGTTTAGTTTTCCAGAGTTATCCTTTATGTTTTGATTTCTTAGAGCTATCCGTTTCATTTGGTTTCAAAGAGCTATCTTTTTCATATTGGTTTCCAGAGGTATCCTTTTCGATTTAATTTTCCAGAGTTATCCTTTACATTTTGATTTCCCTGAGCTATCCTTTTCATTTTAGTTTCCCAAAGCTATCCTCTTCATTTTGGTTAACCAGAGCCATCCTTTTCAATTTTTGTTTTACAGAGCTATCCTTTTGATTTTGGTTTCCCAGAGCTATCCTTTTCATTTTAGTTTCCTAACCCTATCCTTTCCATTTTAGTTTCCAGGAGTTATCCTTTTCATGTTGGTTTCATAGAGCTATCCTTTACATCATGATTTTCCACAGCTATCCTTTTCATTTTGGTTTCCCAGAGCTATCCTTTTCAGTTTAGTTTTCCAGAGTTATCCTTTATATTTTGATTTCCAAGAGCTATCCTTTTCATTTCATTTCCCAAAGCTATCCTCTTCATTTTGGTTAACCAGAGCCATCCTTTTCAATTTTTGTTTT